GCGGGGCCCGGCGCTCACCTGCGCCTGGATGTGCCGCACGCGCTGGCCGTGCTGCCGCGGGGCGCTGTGCAGGCGCCACACGGCCCAGGCGCGCAGCTGGTAGTAGACGTCGAAGAGGATGGAGAGGGGCAGCAGGAAGAGGCACACGAAGACCCAGCGGTGGTGCACGAGCACGGCCTCCAGCCCGCGGTGCCGCACCCACAGCAGCAGCAGCAGCAGCCCCGCGCCCAGCGACCACACGGCCGACATGGCTCGGCTCGGCTCGGCTCGGCTCGGCTCGGCTCGGCTCGGCTCGGCTCGGCTCGGCTCGGCTCGGCGCTGCCCAGCACTCCGCTCCGCTCCCCTCACGCCCGCCGGGCCCTCGCCATCCCGCGCGCGCCGCCCGCGCGCCCGCCCCCCGCCCGCCGCCACCCAGCCTCATTGGCCGGCGCCGCCCTCCGCCGTGAGGCGAGGGGAGGCCGGCGGCCAATGGCGGCGCGCGCTTCACATCGGACCAGGCGCTGAGCCCGCCCATTGGCTGCGGGCGCGGAGGGGGCGGCGCTCCACAGCATGGCCTCGCCGGGGGGCCCCGCCTACCTGCCCCCCGCCGTGGGGGGGAGCTCTGAGGGGGGGGGTGGACTGTGGGGACCCGCGGTCATGGCCGGGGGGTCGGGGCAGGGGCTGGATCCCGCAGCGGGACCGGGGCTTTGGGGCGAGGAGGGAGCCCCTCTGTCAGAGCTGGGGGGCTGCGGAAGGGGATGGACCTTTCCCTGCCCTAGGACTGGGGTTTGGGGGGCGGGGGATGGACCCCCGGCAAGACAGGGGCTGTCCCCCACACAGACCAAAGCGCCGCAGCAGCCGGGCCCGGGAGGAAGGACATGGCCCCCCAAAACCCCTGGTGTGGGCTGAAACCGCAGCCGGTGTCTCCGTGGGGAACAGGGCAGGGTGGCGGAGCCGCAGGGTGTTGGGTGCTGGGCCCACCACAGGGCCGCATCATCTGTTCCTATCTAATATTGACGCTTTCCATATAAATTCCGATTTCTTCTTAAATGAAGATCCATTAAAAGTGTCTTACAATGATTTCCATGCTCTGTTCTTGGTTTCGTAAGGCCCTGGGCAACAGGAAAAGAGCAAGTGAGCTCAAAGAGTGCAGTGTGAAACAGGGCTTTGGAACAGCCCTTAACAGGGAAATCACCATGCACACAGTGATGTGGAGCATCAAACATTCAGAAAACATCGGGAAGGGGTAAAAAAGGGGAGGAGAAAGAGATTGTTAAAACTACGATTTTAGTTATTTTGGATGTGAGCAAAACATCTATAAATTTGATCGGCAAAGCTACGATTCCTTTGGTATCTCCTGTAGGACTAAAATCCCAGCTCTCCCCAATTAAAACAGCGTTTCCTGAGTGCTGGAGCTGCTACTGCTTTTCAAAAAAAGCAGTTCCCTTCCCCTCATCTCCTCCCTCCCTGTTTCCCTCCCGCCCACCCGCTCCTGCTGTTCTGGGCACCGCACGCAGCGCTGCCGCTTGAGCTGCCGCTTGCTAAAACGGTAGAGACCTGCTCTGATTTAAGAATTAAATCGATATTTTTGGCTTTTTCCACCCAGATCAGTTCTCTGATGGAGTTCATCGCACCAGCACTGCTGTGGGTGGCTTGCAGGGAGCAGAGCCAGGGCTCCTCATTGACCCAACCTGCGCGGTCGTTTCTTGGTCATTTGCTTCTCACTCGTTGCCCTACCAAAACGGTGCCCCTTTCTGTATGAAGCAGGACTTGGTAATAACCAGGCAAACGCTTCTGGAAAAGAATGAAAAGACACAGCTATTTATCTCAGGAGACAGCTAAAAGGGACGTGGCACTAACGTACAGAGCGTTTGCGCTGCGGACAGAAATAGGCTGGAAGCGACTGCCTACAAGACAAGCATCAAGAGACGTTCCGTGGCACCAAAGAAAGGCATTGACAGGAGCTAGAAAGCCCTTTTTCACACCAGCTGCCTTAGCCCTGGTACTGGCTGCCACAGAGCTGCAGTTGAGTGGCACCAGGACATCAAAATGACTGGCATTTTAATAGCAGCAGTTATAAAAACTCGCCAGGCATTTTGGAAAGCAATTCAGCCAGTAAATTAACCCATGTCTACCAAGGCTCCAGAAGAACTTTTCCTAATGATGGAATAACTTTTCCTAATTGGCTGCCTTCGGGTTTCCTGAACTTTTCCTTTGCACAATGCTGGTGCTTTCGGGAAGGGGATGTGACTGCAGAGAGCTCAGCTGGTGTGGAGTTCAGATCCATACGTGAGAAGCTCCCTCTACTGAAGAAAACAGAGCATGTCCCACCAGCTTGAAAGAAAAATGTGCTGGAGGGGGTAAAACAGCATTCTGTAGAATTCTATGGGCTATTCTGTAGGACGTGGATGAGGTGACACATAAGCTGCCGATGTAACGCTGGAGCTGGGAGTGCTCCGTGTCACGGGACACGTGCCTTTCCCGGGTGGAGCAGGGCTGTGCCGGGAAGGAGAGCACGTTCCCCACTTAACACCTGGCTGCAGCGTGCTGGGATTGGGGTGAATTCCCAAGGAAGGTGAGGAAGGGCAGGCAAACAACACTAGATCCTTCAAGGTGCATGAGTCTAAATGGAAAATTAGCTGGTCTGAGCATCCTACTCACACCATCCTCCTCACATCCAGTGCTGTCACACAGTCACCTGCCTGGTTTCATTAACGTCAACTTTTCAAAAAGTTGATGAACGCACCCCCAAATGATGTAAACTTGTGAAATTCCAAGCTATGCTCCAAAAATATCAGTGTAATTCAACTTAGGGCAAAATCTAGAACTTTTTTTTTCTTACTACGAAAGAGAAGTAAAATGCTGTAATCAAAATTAAAAATGAGGCAAACAGCTGAAAGAGTTAAAATGTTGGTTATATAAAAATGGTCTTCTTTCCTAAGCCAAGCAATCACAATTGGATAAGTTAATAATTAAGGGTGACAAAAATATGCCATTGTTCCAATAATAAGGAATTGTATTAGTCTTATCAGAGATAAATGAAGACATATTTTAAATGGTTCAGTATTATTCTAATAGGGTACAAATGGCTCCCTTTTTTTCACTAGAAAACACAATATATAATCAGGTCAAAAAAAGTGATTATGGTGTCTGATAGGAGCGTACCAGATGACTAGAAGGAAGCTGGAGGGTTTGAAGAGGTGTTTGTGCCCCTTCCTGTGAGAGTGTGCTCTCTAATATATATAATTTCACAGAGATTCAGACCAGTTTCAGAATGAGGATTGAATAAACAGGCTAGTCCTCGTGCCTGAAAATGAGGGGCAAAGATCTATCCATGGTCAAGGTGAGCAGGATTTGGTTGTTCAGAGGCTCCTTTAATGCAAGACCTGGAGGAGTCTCGCGAAAAAAACCCTCTTTGGCAACCTGAATTATTGCAGTATCTAGTAAATCAAGACAATAATTCCACTACCTTTCAACACAACTAAAGCACTTTCTTTCCTACCTCTATCAAGGATAGAAATGTGGTGTCAGCAAAGCTGTGCCGGTGGGGAGCAATGGCCTTTCCATTGCAGATGCAGAGAGATCTTGGGGCTCCCAAAACAGACCTGAGAATGGATGAACACACGGGGCCTGTTTGCAGCTCATGGTAAATCCAGGTATGTGACTCAAGCCTTGTGCATGAACTGGGCACCCACACAATCATCACACCCCCATTTTCGGGCTCTTTCTGCCCTCTCCCTCCACAGCCAGGCCCCTTTTCTACAAAATGCTTAGGGAAAGTGGGAATTGCAGCAAGCTCTGACAGCCCAGCATGGTTATTTACCATTATCTCCAATATCAGCCAAAAGCCTCTAATAAACTTTGTGCTTTCACTATGTCGGGCTGTCTGTGCATGTCGAGACTAAGTTGAGTTGCAGGGCTGGTGTATGATATATCTCATGCTGAAAGAGGCCCGTGAATCACCAAGGGAGGAGAAAGTCTGATCCCTCTTTATCCTCAAGGCTAGGAGTGGTCAGCCAACAGGAGGTGACAGCTTTCTGGCATAGAAGTATTTACAACTCCCATGAATGGCAGTGGAGACTACACTCTTTTAGTCAAGATCAGGAGCCAGACTATCTCTTAGTTAGGAAAGGACAGGGCAGATTTGAGGGAGAAAGGTTAAATATTTAGGCCCATCCCCAGAGGAAGCACTGGTACGAGGTAGCATTCCAGAGGCACCACATGCTATTCCCGATGGAGCACCAACTAGGAAGGCTATATTTCCATCAGGGATAGCAGGTGGTGCCCCAAGGATGTCACTTTGTGCAGGTTCTTCCTCTCCTAAGGGTCCTCATGGAGTCCAAGATGCTGACCTACCACCTTGTCAAAGGAGGGCTCTAAGTCATCTGGGTAAGGGAGAAGAGACCGTTCCTCAAGCCCAGGATTAGCAAATTAGGGATTGTTTTCCATCTGTTTCTTCACATGTGCCTTTAATAAAGACATATATGCAATTACGTTGTCTACTGTAGATGTTGTGAATAAGCATTTTCATTTCCATTTTACTTCAACGGTGTTTGAAATGAGTGTGGTGTTCACTCAGCTGCCTGCCGTAAAGACACTCCTCCCCCACCATTGGGGCTGATGTATAGGGGCACGGGGGCGTTTTAACACGTGCCTTAGCTCCCCAAAACGTCTTTGGGAGTATCTAAAGGGTGTTAGAGAAGACCTTCCTTTCAGCTGCAAGGGCCATCCGCAGGCCTGACACTTCAGGGCTGGGGAGAGACCCAAGGGTTTTCCAGTTCTAGACCAAAATGGATACAGATCTTTGCCATGTAGGAAGATCTGGAGATTTTCAGACCTGAGTTCAAAGGAGCTTGGCAGAAAGAGCCATTCCCATCTGCAGCATGACATGACCCTCTGTCCTTCATCTTGTTACTTGCCTTCACATCCTTCTCTTTGTCCCTGCCTGCGATCGGATCCATTCTTTGACATGGCCGAGGGAAGAGAGAGGCACCATCTGCTCGTGTGCTTCCTTAAGTGCAGTTATTGCTATTTCTTTCAGGAGCAAATCCCGAGAACATATTGGGATTGGGCACTCCATGGAGCCTCGAGCCCCAGAGCTAGCCAGATTGTGAGCCGAATTTATCATCGATAGAGCCACGACAGCAGCCTTGGCTTCACTTGCAACGTGTTTATATTTGCAGGCAGATTGGCTCTCATATATTTAATGCCATTATGAAGAAGTTGCAGTTCTTTATATCCCAACATGTCTTCTGTCATTTTCGCATGGTTTTGAAACTGTCTTCAGTTACTTGGGAACGCTAGTAAAAAAGATGTGCAATTTCCAG